GCTACAAAGATGCTTTAAAATCTTCTGAATCTGCTATGTGGTTATCTGCTATGAAAGAGGAAATCAACTCCTTACATGTCAATCATACTTGGACTCTTGTCCCTAAACCTGCTAAGTGCTCTGTGATTGAATGTAAATGGCTCTTTAAAATTAAGCATGAAACTGATTCTGTTAGATATAAAGCTAGGCTTGTAGCTAAAGGTTTTACACAAAGAGAGGGTATTGACTATACTGAAATTTTTGCTCCTGTTGTTAAATTCACCACTGTCAGAATTTTACTTGCTCTAGTTGCTCATCTTGATTGGGAACTTAAGCAAATGGATGTTAAAACTGCATTTTTGCATGGTGATCTTGATAAGCAAATTTTCATGTCTCAACCTGAAGGCTTTGTTGATTCTGTAAATCCTGATTATGTTTGTTTGTTAAAGAAATCTCTTTATGGCCTTAAGCAGTCTCCCAGACAGTGGAACAAAAAATTTGACTCTTGCATGCTTTCTTTGAAATTTAAAAGAAGTGAATTTGATCCTTGCTTGTATTTCAAAGATAATTGTCAATTTCCTGTGTTCCTGTTGATCTATGTTGATGACATGCTTATTGCTAGCCCCTGTTTAAAGGCTATTGATCATGTGAAAAAGTGCTTAAGTGAAAACTTTGACATGAAATTTCTTGGTGATTCAAAGAGAATTCTGGGTATGGACATAGTTAGGAACAGAAAAGATTGTTCTTTGTTTCTGAACCAATCTGCCTATGTGGAAAAAATCTTAGATAAATTTGTCATGAAAAATGCCAAGTCTGTGTCTGTGCCTTTAGCTGCTCATTTCTTGCTAAGTAAGGAACAGTCTCCAAAGACTGAACCTGAAATGTGTGACATGAAATCTGTTCCTTATGCTAATGCAATTGGTTCTATTATGTATTTAATGGTTAGTACTAGACCTGACATTGCATATGATGTTAGCTGTTTGAGTAGATATATGGCTAATCCTGGCATGCCTCATTGGGAGGCTGTAAAGTGGTTAATGAGATATCTAAGAGGGTCTGTTAGAACAGGGATTGAATTTTCTAAGTGTGAAAAGGGAATTGTCTTATGTGGTTATGTGGATTCTAATTATGCTAATAACAGAGATAATATGAAGTCCACCACATCTTATGTGTTTACTTTGTGTGGTTCTTGTATTTGCTGGAAATCTCAACTTCAAAATATTGTAGCCATTTCTACCACTGAGGCTGAATGCATAGCAGCCACTGAGGCTATAAAAGAGTCTCTCTGGTTGAAAGGGCTGCTCTCAGAAATTGGTTTTTTGAAAGATAAAGTTGTTGTGTTTTCTGACAGCCAATCAGGTATACAATTGTGCAAGAACCCTGTTTTTCATGACAGAACAAAACACATTGAGATTAAATACCACTTTATCAGGAAAGTGGTGGAAAAAGGTGAGATAGACCTGGAGAAAATTCCTTCTGAATTCAACCCTGCTGACATGGGTACTAAGTGCCTACTTGTGGAAAAATTGAGATCATGTTTGAGAACCTTGAACATTGTCTCAAAACATGAATGAAACAGACATGTGTGTGTTTGCTTGTTGTGTGCAAGTCTGTTTATTGCTTTCTTTGTGGTAGCTTGTGTTATTTTAACTTCTTTGTGATGTTAAAGTTTTCTTTATCTTGGTGATTACCTCCTTTGTGGAAAAGAAAAAAAAAATACTTTTTGAATCTTCTGCTACAATCTGTGTGATTAAGTGTTTAAGATTCAAAGTTACGGCAATGATGATCCCAGTCCATTAAGTGTGTGTCACAATGATCCTTTTATTGGTCTCAGGTGGAGAATTGTTAAGTATTGAGCCCACATAAAATGATCTGGTGTGATCTGGGCCGATAGCTAAATAATTCAAAGCCCAACTCTTTGAAATCGGGCCCAATATTACTTAAGCCCACTGATCCAGTCAACGTAAGATCTGAACCGTTTATTATAGGGCTTCAATCTCAGCCCTCCATTTCCTCATACCTCTTACCCCTCTCAACCCTAGCAGCATTCTTCTGCTGCGCCGTTTCTCTCTCTTCCATTGTCCCCTTCTCTCTCTACAGTGTTTCGTCACCCCTTGTCGTTTTCCGTCGACACCATCGCAGGTCTGGCCGGACAATGGGTGTCCTTGCCGTAGCAGCACATTTAATGTTGGAGACCGTTGAAACTCCGTGTATTTATACTGTGGTGAGAGAGAGAGAGACAAGCGTGATTCGCCTTTTATTCAAACCGTATCATTTCTGGCCTTAATCTTCTTCTGTGAGGGTTTCGGCTTTGTGAGTGCAGAAATCTGGGTTTGTGCTGAGTGGAGAGGGTGAGTTATCACCGAGTTGACTGTGCATGTGTTGGTGAGTCAACTCGGAGTGAGGTTTTGGGGTCAGATCTAGGGTTCCGATCAGTGGCAGTAGCTTGGTGCTTGTTTTCGGTTGGTGTTACCACCAGACCTAGGATCGACAGTATGAACACTGGAAAAGGGAACTGAGCCGTTCTTATTCAATATTCTTTTATTGTTTTCAATTCCTTGTATTTTCTAACTGTGTTTCAGATCTATGGCTGTTTTGGAAAGAACCTGTACCTAACACAAATAAAGGTGGATAATTGTCCAGCTGCCTCCATGGATTAGGCAATGGATAATAAATATGTATGTTTTTTTTTTTTTTGCTTAAATAGTAATACTCTAACAGCTGCAATTCACAATTTTTTTTATTTTGTTTCTCTTAAAATCAGTTGCTTTTAAGCTGTAATTTTAAAAGTACTAATAGACCTGCTTTTTCAATTTAAGTTGATTATCCAGCGTACATGCAAACTAAACACCCACAACTTCTATAAATAAACACTTAAAACGACCCAACTTAAGTCACAATCACTAGTGTCTGCTTTTATCCAACGTGTTCTCTGGATTTTTTCCAAACCTTCCTTGATCATTTCCATTCTTCCATCTTATCTTTAGTTTGGGCTGCTTTTTTTACCCGTGTTATTTTCGATAGATTTTATTTTTCGACCATATTTTTAGCTATTTTCAGGTTGTAGTATTTGTCATTTTAGATTTTCAATGAAACTTTAATTGCAGTATTTTTATTCTACCCTTTATCAAAATTAATTACCTAATTCAGAAATAATTAGTGTCAAATGTATGAATATTTTTTGCTATAATCTATAGATATTTATTGATTTTCTCAATCTATGCACAAGAACCCAAAATAATATTCAAATTTGGACGAAAGGAGTATTTGTTAAAAGAAATTTGAGGCACTTATAATAAACGTTTGGGCGCCATGTTTCGGTCTCGTCGAAACTCCCCAATACTTAAGTCACTCTAAAAACTTGAGAGAAACCTGAGATAATTTATAAAGTGTGTCAAAATAATTAAGAATTGATTAATCACTCACATCTAATGACCATTAGACTATTTATGTGTTATAAATGAAATAAACTTCATAGATCTAACTTACCGAGTATACCTTTGTGAGCAAAAATTCCAAACCTCTTCCTTGTTGCCCTTCTAAAAGACCAATTTATATTATACCTAAAAAAATTAACTTATTTTTTTCCTTTCTTTTATTGGTAAACTTGTTTCCTTTCTAGGATTATTTGCTTGTTGGATGGGGTGCACCACCGCCGACTTGGGAAGGTATGAGCTAGTCGACGATTTGAGTGGGACGACAACGTGTTAGGCGAAGGAGTAGTGGATGCGATGGAATGGTGGAGGTGATCATTTACCAACCACATATTGTCTAAATTCTAACGCCTCCGACTGAAGGTTTACACTATCATACAAACGATCTAGCAATCACGTCATTCAAAGAGTTCGGTCCTCGCACATGGCACATGACAAGACGTGACATACATCCATGTATTGGCGAGCGTTGTGGCAATGTCAAAGGAAATTCAAAAATTCCTACTAGGTCACTACTCATAATAAAAGTGTCAAAGAATGTAGACATCCGCAATGTAAAGATCATCGGTCGGACCTAAGATTTAAAGTAGACGATAGAAGGTAAGTATAAACATACTTCAGTCACACATATATCCAAAACACACATGCAATCTTTCATATTCTACCATTTCCCCCCTTCATCTTCCTCAATCGCTATTGAACTGATTAGATTGTCCGGAGTGTTGATGTCGAGAATCCACTCTTCTTGGCACTCCTTTTAAAGATAATTAAAAATGTTTCAAAAGGACGTGTTAATCTTAAAAACATCAGTCGATAGAAACTTTAAGGGCTCGTTTCGGTTACATATATTGGACAAGGCTGAATTATATGAGATTGAATTAATTTTCTAATGACTAATTAATTATTTGGTTTGTAAAATGTTCGATTTGTTAGATTAGTTTCTCGTATATATTAACTTAGTTAAGTTATGGTATTATATTGAATTCGACTTGATAAAATTAAATTATAATTGTAAGGATAAAATTTCTTTTTGTTATATTTAGTCGCACCTTACAAGATTTATTGCATGGGGTAGGCGCTACTGAATTAACGATATAGTAGCATGAAATAGCGAGCTATAATTTATGCAACGGTCCTGAATAATGTCAATCCAACATATTACTAGCCCCTCCTATTATTTAATAGTAGTAAGTTAGTAACCAAATGAGGCATAAATCTCCTCACAAATCGGATAAATAATATAATTATACAACATAGTAAAAATAAATAATAATAATAATAGTAATAATAATAATAATAATAATAATAATAATAATAATAATAATAATAATAATAATAATAATAATAATAATAATAATTCAATGGACCACTATACAAAATGCATGATTCATAGTCCAACGTAACCCAAAATGTAGCATGATCCTAATTTCATGTTGCCAATCTGATAAACCCACGCGCCACCGCGTTCAATTCAAACCCCATTCAAACAAATCCATACCAGTATTCCCTTCATTTCAGCGTTCAATCCTATTACGATCTTAAACCCCACTCAAAAAAAAAATCCCAAAACAAAAAGCAAAACTGAAAATCAACGTCAAGCTTTTCGTCATTCTTTAATTTCAATGTACGGCGGTGGATATCAATACCCAGACCCGTACCCGGATCCGAGCAACAGCGGGGCGGCATTTGTGGAGGGGGAGGGTGACGACGACGACGGCGGCGGCGAAGAACCGGAGGATATATCGCAGGAGGATGCTTGGACTGTGATAAGCTCGTATTTCGAGGAGAAGGGTTTGGTTCGTCAGCAATTGGATTCGTTTGATGAGTTCATACAGAACACGATGCAGGAGATTGTGGACGAGTCCTCCAACATCGAGATCCGACCCGAATCCCAGCACAATCCGGGTCGGAGCTCCGATTTCGTTGAGGTACCACCCCCCTCCTTATATTTAATGATTATAAACGATAAATAATATTATTTTTGGATTGCTGGTTTCGAATACATTTTTTTCCATCAATTCTAATTTCTAATTTAGTTGAATTAACTGCCAATTTCTAATTTCATGAGTATCGGGCGGGGTTATTCGTAAATTACGAGCAATCAACCTTGTGGCTGAGTGGTACCATTTCCATATTTGGATGATGAATGTGGTTACAATGTTCTTATTATCCAAAAAAAAAAAAGACGCGTTCGGTACTCGTTTAAAAAAAATCGGATATAGGACTCTTTTGGCAGTAGAATTGAAAAAATCGATTTGCATTTTTCCAATAGAACAGTGTCAAAATTAATGCTTATATCATGATGGAGATATTGATCTTATTCTACTTCTAAGTGGCTACAGTTTTGCTAGCTGCCGTTCGATGTCGAGTAATTTATTGCATCTTTAGAGTGATGATTTGTTGGATATTTAGATTCAAATCACTTTGCTCAAAATTTCGCTTGTCCTGTTTTTCAGACAGTATACAGAATCAGCTTCGGGCAGATATACCTTAGTAAACCGATGATGACTGAATCAGATGGAGAGACCAACACATTGTATCCAAAAGCTGCACGGTTAAGGAACCTAACCTATTCGTCACCATTGTACGTCGATGTCACAAAGAGAGTCGTAAAGAAAGGTTACGACCACGAAGAAGTCATAGAGACACAAGAGTTCACCAAAGTCTTCATCGGAAAGGTACTTCCGCTCGGGGCAGTTTGGGGGGCCGTGGCCCCCTCCACCCCTTAAGAACTAGCTATGGAGTCGCTAACGAACTGGGGATATATATGATATCTTGCTTATATATGTGTGTGTGCTTGTTGTTGTTGTTGTTGTTATTTTTAGGTTCCAATAATGCTTCGTTCGAGCTATTGTAGTTTGTACCATCTCTCGGAGAAAGACTTGATGGAGATGGGGGAGTGCCCTTATGATCAGGGCGGATACTTTATAATAAACGGGAGCGAGAAAGTTCTTATTGCTCAGGAGAAAATGAGCACTAATCACGTCTATGTGTTTAAGAAGCGTCAGCCTAACAAATACGCTTACGTGGCCGAAGTTAGGTCCATAGCCGAGTCGCAGAACAAGGCACCTAGTGGCATGTTTGTTAGGATGCTTTCTAGACCTGGAGCAAAAGGGGTAACTCAAATTCGAATCTCGTTTCCAATCTTTTTATTTTTATTTTTAATTTATAACTTCATTGGCTGAGTAACGATTTTATGAAAATAGTTGCACTGAAATTTGATGTTATTGGATATGCAGGGGACCTCGGGACAGTACATTCGAGCTACACTTCCGTACATTAGGACCGAAATTCCTATAATAATCGTGTTTCGCGCATTGGGATTTGTGGCGGATAAATATATATTAGAACATATCTGCTATGATTTTAATGATACAAAAATGATGGAGTTGTTGAGGCCTTCGTTGGAAGAGGCCTTTGTGATACAAAATCAACAGGTATTTGGTTTTATATTTATCATTTCGCGTCCCGTTTTATTGGAATCTTGAAGTATGGTTTCTTGTTGTAGGTTGCACTTGACTACATTGGAAAGAGAGGATCTACGGTTGGTGTTACGAGAGAAAAAAGAATTAAGTACGCGAAAGAAATCCTCCAAAGGGAGATGCTTCCGCATGTCGGTACTGATGAGTATTGTGAAACCAAGAAAGCCTATTATTTCGGGTTAGTTTTTTTTTTGGCAATCTGTTAATATACATTATGTATTTTATCTCAGCTGCAATGAATAACAAAAATAGTTTGGTGTGGCAGATACGTAATAAACAGGCTATTACTCTGCGCACTTGGGCGAAGACCAGAGGACGATCGAGATCACTACGCGAATAAGAGGCTCGATCTTGCTGGTCCATTGTTAGCGGGTTTATTTCGCATGGTCTGAAATTTTAGTTATTCACATAGTATTTTGATAAATTGAAAGAAATTCGTGTTGTAAAAATTCCCGTTTTTGTTTCTGGTGCAGTTGTTCAGAAAATTAACCAGGGATGTCAGATCATATGTTCAAAGGGTATTTTTTTATTTTTTTTTTCAGATTATTGCTTTTGAAATTTGAGGCTAACAATAGTTTAACAAACACAAAATTCTCTCGTAAATGAGGCAGGGCGTCGATAGTGGCAAGGAAGTAAATTTGCAATTTGCTATTAAGGCAAAAACAATCACAAGTGGACTCAAGTATTCTCTTGCCACTGGAAACTGGGGACAAGCAAATGCAGCTGGAACTAGAGCTGGAGTTTCTCAGGTCAAATTTTTTGTTATTATTATTATTTTATTTCGGGTGTAATTTCATCAGTTTCTTCTTTTTAGGCAATTTCTTTAGGTAATAAAGTTTCGTTTTAATCAGGTGCTCAATCGTTTGACATATGCATCAACACTCTCTCATTTGAGGAGATTAAACTCGCCTATTGGCCGTGAAGGTGAGCCTGTTTTAAACCATCTTTTTATATTTTTCAGTTTCTTTAAAATCATTTTTCTTGTCGAATAGGTAAATTGGCTAAACCGAGGCAGTTGCACAATTCACACTGGGGTATGATGTGTCCTGCAGAAACACCTGAAGGACAAGTAATAATACTATTACATCATCAAAAAAAAATTTCGAGTGCTTGCGTCGACAATTACCTGCATTACCTGCGTTTATGCTTTCGATTTTTTAATACTATTAACAAATATCAGGCATGTGGATTGGTCAAGAACCTTGCCCTTATGGTGTACATAACAGTCGGATCAGCAGCAAATCCGATTTTGGAGTTTTTAGATGAGTGGAGTACGGAGAATTTTGAGGTGGAATTTTTTTCTTCTCATTATTATAATTATTTACATTATTTACTCTTCAAATAAAACTTATTAATTCTTTCTTTAAAGGAAATATCACCAGCTGTGATTCCTCACGCTACGAAAATATTCGTCAATGGTAACTGGATTGGCATTCATCGGGATCCAGAGCTGTTGGTTAGAACACTCAGACAGCTAAGAAGACAGGTTTTTATTTATATTTTTTTTGTTTCAGTACGATGATTGATTTGATTCTTAAATCTATGTTTTTTTATTACCATATATCAGCAAAAAAAAAAAAAACATTGAGGGCATTTTTTACAGGTTGATGTGAACACTGAAGTTGGAATTATTCGCGATATACATCTGAGAGAGCTTCGACTATATACAGACTACGGTCGTTGCAGTCGCCCCTTATTCATTGTCGAGAAACAAGAGTTGCTTATAAAGAAGAGGGATATTCTTGCCCTGCAGCAAAGAGTATTTCGTTTCACGATTAAAATCGAATTCAATAAGCTTTTTACTGCTTTATGCAGTTATTTTGATCAATGCTAGTTCCCGTGCAGGAATCGGCCGATGAATATGGTTGGCATGATCTTGTAAGAAAAGGATTTATCGAATACGTTGACACAGAAGAAGAGGAGACCACAATGATTTCAATGTCGATAAACGTAAAATATACGTATACACGTAAAATGAAGATAAATAAAAGTTGAATTTGTTTTGTTTTATTTAATGAGTTATTCTTTTAGGATCTTGTGAATTCGAGGCGAAACCCTGATGATGCTTATTCCGAAACATACACGCACTGTGAAATCCATCCGTCGCTGATATTGGGTGTTTGCGCTTCAATCATACCATTTCCCGACCACAACCAGGTTCGCTTTCGTTCGTTTTAATTTCTGTTTATTTTACTTAAATAAAAAAAACAGAATACGATAAATATATGTTTTTTCCTTTATTATTGTAATGCAGTCCCCTCGTAACACTTATCAGTCGGCGATGGGAAAGCAAGCAATGGGAATATACGTGACTAATTACCAACTACGAATGGTGAACTTCTTTCTTCGTTCATTCTGTTTGATAAGATTATCCATGTCTGATAACTTAATCAATGTTTCTGCGGATTGTACCTTATTATTTCGTCAAAACAGGACACGCTAGCCTATGTACTTTACTATCCTCAGAAGCCTCTCGTCACTACTCGTGCTATGGAGCATTTGCATTTCAGACAACTTCCAGCTGGCATCGTAAGGACTGTGTTTGATAAATTTCTTTCGTCCATATTAATATATATTTTTTTTGTTATTTTCGTAAAATGAAGATATATAATAATTATCATGTCCTTTACAAGAATGCCATTGTATCCATTACTTGCTACTCGGGATATAATCAAGAAGATTCTGTAATCATGAACCAATCTTCAATTGACCGTGGATTCTTTCGGTCTTTGTTCTTCCGTTCATATCGGTAATTTACTAATATATTGGCCATTCGTTTCACATATAATATCCACTGATGCATATTCTACTAACTTCCACACTTATTCCATTTTCTCGTGTTTGTCGTAGGGACGAGGAGAAAAAGATGGGAACACTAGTTAAAGAGGATTTTGGGTGTCCTAATCGAGACACAACCCTGGTTAGTTCATTCTCAAATTCCATTAAAATCAATTTTATCTCACAAGAGAGAGTTTTACAACTGAAATGGTGTTCTTAGGGAATGCGGCATGGATGTTACGACAAACTAGACGATGATGGCTTTGCTCCTCCTGTGAGTATGAGGGGCATTTTCGTAATTTAGCCTTGACTCGGGGGTGTTTGTAATTTATTGTTATATATGCTTGTATCAGGGGACAAGAGTCTCCGGTGATGACGTCATCATAGGGAAGACAAAACCAATTTCTCAGGAAGATGCTCAAGGAAAATCCGCAAGATTCACAAATAAGGACCATAGTACTAGTTTACGTCACAGCGAAAGTGGGATCGTCGATCAGGTACGTTATACAGGAATCACGTGTTTCACATTATTGCACGATATACAGTAGAACCTCGATAAATTAATAACATCGCTTAAATAATAGTGTCTTCTGGTCCCGACTCGGTAAAAACCAACTAAATTATTATTCGATAATTTAATTTTTCGCTAAATTAATAGAATTTTGCTAGTCCCGACTGTATTAATTTATAGAGTTTTATCTGTACGTAACATTATTAGTTGACATAAGATATATCTTAAATATTTTAGGTACTTTTGACAACAAATGCTGACGGACTGAGGTTTGTCAAGATTCGAATGCGATCGGTTCGAATACCTCAAATAGGAGACAAATTTAGCAGCAGACACGGGCAAAAGGGAACGATAGGAATGACGTACACACAGGAAGATATGCCGTGGAGTATCGAAGGCATTACACCTGACATAATAGTCAACCCGCATGCTATTCCTTCTCGCATGACGATTGGTCAGCTTATTGAATGCATTATGGGGAAGGTGGCTGCTCACATGGGCAAGGAAGGAGATGCTACACCTTTTACTGATGTTACTGTGAGTAAACGTATTTCTAAAGCTTTAAAATTTTCGGGTAAAAAAAAAAAAAAAACTCTTATTTGCATAAAAACAAATATATGTTGTTGTCTCTATTTTCGACTCGGAACTTTGTTTTCATGGTACATAAAAAATCTTCTATTATATTACTATTTTTTTTTTCTTCTGAAAATGTAGTATTTCAACGTCTCTCTATTTTCCTGATATTTTTTTATAAGGGGAATTTAAATATTTCTCGACATTTCGTTAAGGTTTGTTACCGTGTTAGTTAGAGGTAAAATGTAATTATGAAAAGATGGGATTTTATAACTTAGAACACACTCGGGTTATTTATAATTTAGATTTTCTGTGTTTTCCTTTTCTCTAAATTGATATGTATTATGTACCTTAGCCATTTTACAATTTCTGTTAAGATTTTTTGAAGGATCGTTAATTAGCCGTGTAAATATATTCATCAAATAGAAATATTTATGTTTTCCTCGTAATTTAGCATTACCTTGATGGTTTTTTTTCCTCAGGTGGACAGCATTAGCAAAGCTCTGCACAAATGTGGTTACCAAATGCGAGGATTCGAGACAATGTACAACGGCCACACGGGCCGTCAGCTGACAGCCATGATATTCCTTGGCCCCACTTATTACCAACGGCTAAAGCACATGGTTGACGACAAGATCCACTCGAGGGGCCGAGGCCCGGTTCAGATCCTGACCCGACAACCCGCCGAAGGAAGATCCAGAGACGGTGGTTTGAGATTCGGAGAAATGGAGCGCGATTGCATGATAGCTCATGGAGCCGCGCATTTCTTAAAAGAGAGGTTGTTCGACCAGAGCGACGCTTACAGGATTCACGCGTGCGAGAATTGCGGTATTATCGCCATTGCCAATCTAAAGAAGCTTAGCTTCGAATGTAGGAGCTGCAAGAATAAAACAGACATTGTTCAGGTTCGGAGATTTTTAATCGTTTCAAAAGTGAACTTTTTTCGTTTTGATTCGCCTGATTTTTTCGGGATAAATTGTGTGAACAGATATACATTCCTTACGCATGCAAGCTTCTGATACAAGAACTCATGTCGATGGCGATTTCACCGAGGCTGCTCACAAAGGGTTTGGACACATCCAAGGAACAAAAAAAGAAAGGTGGATAATTTCCAGCTGCCTCCATGGATTAGGCAATGGATAATAAATAGGTATGGTTTTTTTTTTTTTTTTTGGCTTAAATAACACAATTTTTTTTGGCTTTCGTCTCTCTTAAAATAACTTGCTTTAAGCTGTTATTTTACAAGTACTAATAGATTTGCCTTTTCAATTTAAGTTGATTTTCCAGCGTACTTGCAAATTAAACACACCCAACTTCTAGAAATAAACACTTCAAACCAACTTAATTCACAATCACTAGCTTCTGCTTTTAACCAATGGGTTCTCTGGATTTTCCAGACCTTCCGTGATCATTTCTATTCTTCTATCTTATCTCTAATTTGGGCTGCCTGTTTTACCCGTGTTATTTTTGATAGATTTTATTTTTCGTCTGTTGATACTTTTAACTATTTTTCAGGTTTGTAGCATTTCGCCTGAATTTTTTTTTATGTACGCATCGATTTTTGATCTATAGACAAGTTGGGGGTCCATCACAACCCTCACCCCCTCCACCTTCATCGAGTGTCGTTCTTCTGCTTTTAAATAAGCTTTTGCAAATACGAACAACAATAAAAGGTGGGAAAAATACATTTTTCATCCATCAAATTTGTACAAATTTCACATTCGGTCCCCCATATATGTTCAAAAAAAATATATTTGCCCCTTCATGTTTCAAAAATTCAACACTTTTAGTTATTTCCATCAATTTTTCGTTATTACTAACAGAATCAAGCGTGTGCCCATCACTGCGAGTTAACGGTAAAATAACGGAAATGACAAAAATGTTAAATTATTGAAACACAAAAGACTAAATGTGATTTTTCTAAACATGAGGGACCGTATGTGAAATTGGTACAAACTTGAGGGATTAAAATTGCAATTTTCCCATAAAAGTTATTATTATCCAAAGTACAACTAAAATTTGGCAAATTAGTCCAATAATTGAGAAAAAATCATTACAATTTACACCTAACTAAACCAAGGTGCATGGGGGCATTTTCGTCAAATTTATTAATGCATGTCCAAAACCTAGGACCCATACGAGGTACTATAAAACTTGCATACAGTACAATCATTCAGAATCCTCAAAAGAACAGGGTTTGTAGTACACCTAGGAGTTTTGAACTGGCTCAAAGCTGCACCATTCGATATGAAATACTCCAAAATCTTTTTAAATGTTCCTCTCTCCACAATTCTAAGTTCCAATGGTCCAATTGAATTAGTCTTTCTTGACACAACATACCCATGGTCAACAAATGAAGCATCCATCTCTCTGCAGCAATCCCTCAAAACCCCTTCTTCGACGGCCTCGCCCTCGATTTCCCAGTAAATTACGTAGTGGCCTGGTTGGTTTGCCACGTCAGCATGGCTAGTGAAATCGACTATTTCAGCTCTTGAGGCGGATTTTCTCAGAATCTGCGAGCCCCTTTCGACGACTAATTGGAGGTCCCTTTCGGTGTTCTTGTCTATGTTTACGGTTAAGATTAGGTTCCGCCTACAAATGTAGTTGAGTTTCGGCGTGTTTCCGTAGAAACCCGCCACCTCAACCACATCGCCGAGTCTGTATCTATATAACCCTACATGGGAAATTGATAAGAAAAATTTTGTCACAAAAAAAATTAAAATAAAAATTAGGTGAAAATTAAATGTCATATATATATATATATATATATATATATATATATATTTAGCATTCTTGATAAATGCAAGTGGACATAATTAATTAGCTAGGGAAGAAATTTTGTAAGGTCTTATTATTGCACATGGTGATTTTATTTGAATTTATTAATTTAAAAAAAAATTTACTTTTCATATTCCGTACGTACAGAAGATATTTATTATTTATGGCAGAAAATTGATCAGACATTTAAAAGTATATATATAGGGTCCTTTTGAGTCGTGGACAAACTATGTTCATATATTTTCTTAGTAATTGGCCTTGTCTTAAAGTTGACAACACATGCATACACTTGAATATAGCCAAAAACTTATCTCTGCATGCAATTATACATATGGTCCCTTGTATGTATGTACTAACACCTAAAAATTGATTAATTATTGAATGTAGCTAGCTACCAATGAATTTTACTTCAATTCATTTATAAATAAATAAATAAAAATAGAATTTACGAACCTGTGAAAGTGGTGAGAACAATCTCGTATTCCTGTCCAATCTTCACACGTGACAACGGGACTGGATCGTCTTCGATAAAGTCATCACCACCCGAACACAATTTGCTGCCACATTCTTGATAATTGTTATTCCTTCTACGGAGCGGTATAAATTCGAAGTACGAAAAAGTCGGAATAACCGCGAAAGTAACTTTTTCCGGCGGTAAAAAAGGGTCGATATTAACTCCGATCCAGCTCTCGGTGGACCCATAGTCGCCACTCACGAGGGGCAATCCCCCCCCAGCATAGTGCCTAAGCTTACTCAAATACGGCTGCATCGAACCAGTCATAATCGAGTTCACATACTTTGCGTTCGGCCAAATCTCGGAAATTAATCCGGCCCAATCGTTCCCTTCAAGTTCGTTACATTTCTTTTCGACCCTCGAAGCCAAACTCGGATTCGGACGACAAGCGACGATATCAAGAACCGATTTTCTTACATCTTGGATAGTGATTCTTGAGCTAAGTGTGCCTTCTCTTAGGTCATTGCAAATCTCCCTCCAAATTTCTTGGAAGGTTCTAAAAGCTTGTACGAGGCTGTACGCGAAAGTCGAGGTTATGTATTCGATTTCGTCGGAGAAATGTAAACCTAGGAGGAGGTGGCAGTATGTGGATTGTGTGTAGTCTCCACTAGAGATAACTTCTTTCGGGCTACAAGTGAACGACTTCGTTTGTTGTTGCTTGATTTTGAACTCGTCGCTCGCGTACACGTGCGTCGTGGCGGTCCCCACGGTTACTCCTCCCTTCGTCTCGAAACGTTTGCTGCTGTATATGAATTCGAGGATTCTCCCACCTTCCCTTGTTGGATATACCCTTTTGTCATAATAATTAAATAAAATTATTATTTATAAATTAAAAAATGTGACTATATATATTATATATATATTTTTTATTATATATAGAGGTACCTTGATCTATAAGCTGCTGCAAGTTTGAAAATCTGAAGAGTGGTGTTTGAGCTATGGTGAGTAAAGGGTACATACTTCTGTCTTCCCTCAGTTGTACCAGAACTAATGAATATCAAAAAAAAGATCAATAAAAGAAACCAAATTAAAAATAATTTTTTTATTTTATTTTATTTTTATTACCAAAACTAGCAAAGAATTTGAACAAGTAGTTCCCTGTTTCTTGCATTCCACTTCAAAATGGGAAGAAACATCTAATCATGTCAAATTTGTCAACTCATTGAATGTCAATAAAATTGACTGCATATAATATATATATATATATATATATATATATATATATATATATATATATATATATATATATCAATTATCAACTCATTGACTTCTTCTTTATAAGGGGCTCAAAAGAAACTTAAAGAAGATATACATAAATATATGTATGTGTATAATTATAGAGAAACAAACCTTAATGAGAGAGTAGTAATAGGTTCTTGAGTGATGAGGGGGTCGGTTTCTCCATCGGCGATTCGTTGAAGGTAAGGCTCGAAATCTGCATGGGATGAAAGTGGAACCAAAGAAGTGTAAAGGGATTCCAACGCAATTTTATCGACTTCTTTTACATAATTAATGTCTCCGAAAAATTTCTTGAGGTACTCCACTCCACAGTTTAGTTCGAGAATCCTATGAAGCGTCTCCGTTTGGACATCCCCCGCTCGACCGGCCACATCTTCGAACCACTCGATAATGTCGTTGTGGTATTCGTCGCAGCTCTTCGTACAACTCATCGTTGCCTAGTCTTGATTTCTTGATTCTAATAATGTAACAATGTGGTTAGGAATATTTGCAAAGTTTGCTTTTGTATGTGTGTATATATATATATATATCAAAGGATAATGTGGCTATGGATGTGAACTTGTTCTCTCTCTCTCTCTCTCTCTCATATGCACATATTTTGAAAAAGAAGAGGGAAAGGAGCCCACTAGAATTTATGGATTTTAGTCATGAGTCGTTATTATCTTTGATGAGAGAGTACTTGTCCTCCAACGGAAAACGTTAATTAAATAATTAAATAATATGGCAAATTACAGCCACCCCCTTGAGGTAAGGTCAAATTATGAAAAAACCTTTCTTTTTTCGGTAATTACATCCACCCCTTCTTTTAAATATTTTTCAATAAAATTTCTGTAATTTGGTATTTTACCGAACCAAATCGTATATTCGGTTCGTTAAACAGTATGAAATGTTAGCATACCGAAATCTCGGTTCGGTTTTTCACCGAATTAACATCCCTAAATTTACATCTGGAGGGGTATTTTCATAAGATAATACATAGTTGAGTGGAGTGACTTTAATTACCCAAACATAAAGTGATTTTTTCGTAATTTAACCTTAACTCAGGGGGTTGGTCGTAATTTGTTCTAAATGATATTATTTTTCTCTGGTGTAAAACTGTACGATATATTGTTGGCCACAGCACACAAGAGTACAACAACTTATCTGAAATAATATTTGACTTTTCTGAATTTTTGTGTTTTGGAGATTCTTTACCGACCTATGGATGGGGATAGTGGGAAGAGAGTGGGCCGGGCCGGGCCATAAAGAAACAATTTATTGCTTTCATATCTAACATGTAAAGTGTAAACTCAATATTTTTTGAAAAGTTAAATCATTTTAGTTGGTTTCTACTTCGTGTGTTCACAACCATTCAGATCTTTAATAATTATAAAATGATATATATTTTGGTCGGTTAGGGTTCTTATGAGAAAATTATGATCAAAATAAATCATGTAATTTATTTTACGATGGGTTTTTACCATGATATTATTCGGTTGCGGAGCCAGTATTCTAAATCTAGAGATTGGATAAAAAAAATAAAAAATCAGGGGGTCGTAATGCTATTACAGACAATGTTTTTTTATAACTTTGTATAAAATAATAAGAATTTGATAAATGTTGGGGGTCAGGGCCCCTTGGCCCTATACGGACTCGGCCACTGATATTATTTGAATCTTACAAATTTAAAAAACATGAATGTTTGGGAACCTTTTGTTCCTCGGAATATAATTATCTTTCTAAAATGTTTTCAAAAACTTTCGTCAAAAAAAATTCAAATATTTCGCTCTCTAACAAACATGATTTGACTGTTACAGTGAAAATTGTCTCCACTAAACTACAAATTAAGATCACTTTATCTTTCAAATTCTTCTTGAAAAATATATTTTTCCAACACATTTTATTGTAACTCTAGATTATTTGGCTGATTTAAAATGCAACTTGAATCAACATTTACAAATATACTTTTTTTTTTACAATAGCGAAAAATTAAATTACCAAATTAATATTTTAACACATTGTGAGTTGTGACCGCGTTGGGAAAATGATAGACTATTATTATTGGGAATTGCTATTTGCGGTTTGAAAATTGCTATTTGCGGTTTATAACAAAACCCTCCAAAAAATACTTTATCTCTCTAAAACCCCAAAACTTCTCAAAAAATTCCAAACCCCCCCCCCAAAACGCGTAAAAGCCCAACTTGGGCGCCCATTCATGCAGTGCACCTGCATTTGGGCGCCCGAGTTGGGCGTCCAGTGCAATTTTTATTTTATTTTATTATTATTTTTTTTTAATGAACACCCAAGATGGGCGTTCCAACATTTTTTTGCGAAAAAAAAAGCCCTACAAATCGATTTGTAGGGCTTTTTAACATGAAATTGGTTCCGTAATCGACCTACCCGATGCATATTACACATAAAAGAGTCGAAATTACATCAAAAAATCGAAGTCCAACCCTTCTTCAAGCTTGATTTCGAATTTTCGAATTTTCGATTTTTTTTTTTTTTTTTTTTTTGCAGTTTTGGGGGGTTTTTGGATTTTTTTAAAAGTTTTGGGGGGTTTTGTTATAAACCGCAAATAGAAATTTTGTGACCGTAAATAGCATTTCATTTATTTAAATAGTATTATTAATTTATTGAATTTTTACTCAACAATATTTTAATTTGGACAACTAGTTAGCTGTCATAGTTAAGCCGGAGGGCCACCAATTAATTTAATTGACATATTAAATAATTTCTCTGAGTACAAAAAGCAAAATACACGTATGAAACGGACACATGAAATTTATAGCTGAAAATGAAATGTCCAACAAAAATCATTACGAAAAAAGGCACTTGTCTGAAAATGCTTGTGGTTGTCAAGCTGGTTCGATTTACGATTTAGTTCATTGATTTATTTCGATTTTCAGTTTTTTTTTTAATAATTTTTTTTAAAAATTTATTTATTTATTTATTTGAATCTTGAAAACTACTGATTTGACACGATTGTATCGACATGCACTGCCATTTTATACAATTTTTACGATTCAAATTTATTTAAAATAAATAAATCATAAGCATATTATTTGAATTAAAACCAAATAAATAATGCTAATAATCATACTTAAATTATGGGTAACACCTGAGGCAAGAGTTAATAATTTACAAGTCCATGTTGTATTAGTAATTACAAATAACTTATGCTATTTCTCCGTGTTACAATGACATCCTTATGGAGGTACCAGTAACAAAATTTTGAAGATTCCATGAATATTCGTTCTGAATTTTCGAATCTACACCCAAAGGATAAATGTAATATTTTATTTTACCTCATGTGTACCGTAATTTACCGATAGTTTGTTTGTTTAATAGACAATTGATTTATCCTATTAGAATTTGTAATGAACTGTTAGTTTTAGGGGACATTTGTAATTATCAATACAATAGGGGTCTATAAACTATTTAGTCTTATCTGATGGATATTTCTAATTTACACTAACTTAAATAGAATTGTTTTTCTGAAAACAATGTTTTTTTTACTAAAATAATTTTCTTGCCATCTCAATTACTAAGACCTCTCGCTAATATAAGATCTATTATGTAGTCTCAAAGGACATTTAATAAATAAATGTGAGGGTTTAGATAAAACCCATGCTAATTTAAATAAAAATGAATTAAGAACATTTTGTTGTAAATAATAATGGGGGCTATTAGTGAAAACCCCTCTTACATTATTTTAACTGAAATGATTTGTGCAGGCACCATTTAATTGTGCATGCATTTTTTTTACCATTCTTCAAAATTCAAAAGGTAAATATTCTTGCAAACTCTCTCAAACTTTTGGAGTTCGATTTCAGATCCCGACCGAGACGACAACAGGTCGGAGGTAATTTTTACATTTTTTTGATTTTCGTTACGTAGATTACGATTATTGATTTTTTTTTTTTGAAAACGAAGCATCTGGTAGTACTCGCGTGATTCTACACGAGTCCAGTGGAGTTACTCGTGTAGAACCACGCGAGAAGATGAATGTATGTATGTATATATGTTTTTTTTTAATTGAAAATACGTATGTTTTGATTGAAAAAATAAAAAACAGGGGGTCGTACTCGTGTGTTATTAGGAGAACAGGGGGTTGTACTCGTGTCAAACCACGCGAGCTCATTTCATCGAGCTCGCCTAAAATCACACGAGCTCTATTTATTTTAATTTTTTTTGTTGCTCGTGTGAAAACAGGCGAGCAGATCTATTGTCCTTGCGTGCCTGCAGACGAGGAAAATAGATTTGCTCGCGTGTTTTCACACGAGCAACTTTTATTATTATTATTTTTTTTAATTAAATACTAATTAAATTTTTATGTTAAATTATAGATGGCCGTAGGTAGATGAATAAGTTTAATGAAACGTACGCACCGGTTTGTGTGCAACTGAACAAGAGCGCCAGCTGTAGCTCACCCCGTTGTTGCCCCCCGCCAGATCAGCCGTTTGTGAACGATATAGCTCGTCTCCTATTTCCGATCGTGTACGGACATGATGAAATTGATGCGGCAGAACAATTTATGGCAATCCAGTCATAGTTACATGATTTGATGATGCCCCATGCCCAGTATCTCCATCGTACCCGGGAGGGGTAGGGGTCGTGTGGGCCCGAGGACTAGAGGTACGGGATCGATGATTAGACAGTAGGATGGTTATGATTGTTGTAATATTATGACTATTATTTTCCATTTTCATTGGTTCAGTTAGGATGATGGTTACTCGGTTTTCTATTTTGATTGTGTTGAAGAATTACTCGGTTTTCTATTTTAATTGTGTTGAAGAACTACTCGATTTTCTATTTTGATTGTGTTGAAAAATTACTCAATTTTCTATTCATGATGTGCTCAAATATTACCCGGTTTAGAAATAATAAAAAAATTAATTATACTCGCGTAGTTTTATGCGAACAGAGAGCATGTGGTCGTGTAATTCTACGCGAGCAAATGCCCTGTGTTTGGGTAAAACTACGTGCGTGTAATTAATTTTTTTTAAATATCTACTCACGTTGTTTCACGCGAACATGTATGTTTTGCTCGGGTAATATCACGCGAGCAAAACTTCCCTGTTCGTGTGAAACCACGCAAGTAGATGTTAAAAAAAAAATATTTAAAATAGAGCTCGCGTAATTTAACACGAGCACAGTCTCAGTTGTCGCCTAAAATTACACGAACAAAAAAAAAATCTACTCGTGTGGTTTTGCGCGAACACATGGCATGTGTTCGTGCAAAACCACACGAGTTGAAGAACAAAAAAAAATGTTTATGTACTCGTGTGATATTACACGACCACATGGCACGTGGTCGTGTAATATCACAAGAGTACATGAATATCCGAGAAAAAACGAACACGTTACCTCCGGGTCTATATTCGTTGGATCCATCTCAGAAATTGTTGATTATCTAAAATTTTTTGACTTGAATGTTCAAATTTGGGGTTTTAAAGGATTATAGGGGTTTGATTGAAAAAATGTAAAAAGGTAAAAACTCATGGTAAAAAGGTAAAAAATTATGGTAAAAGAATGCATACACGCCAAAATAGCACCTGTGCATATGGTTCCCTTATTTTAATGAGGATGAGTCAAGCTCATTTTCCTTTATTAGCGAGAGACTCATCCTTTCTTTATTCTCAAATTCACCCTCCCTCTATTCACTATCTATTATCAACTACTTTGATGCATTTT